CTCCAAGCTTTGTCAATAAATTTGTTAAATTTAAAAAAAAAACCTTCCTCCCTCCCGACCTTCCTCCACCACCATCACCAAATCCTCCCTCCCACCTTCCCTCCACCATCACCACGACTACGCCCTCCCTCCCTTTCTAGCCCTGTCCCTGGTGCCCGCGGGGTGGGCAGGTAAGCTCACTAAACTGCTAAACACTGACTATGTTGTTGTAGTTCAGGGTAATGAAAATTAACTGGGGGTTGGGGGGTCATATATCGCCTCAAGTGGTCCTCCTCCGCTTCCTTGCCACTTATGTAAAGTCATTTAGAGGCATTAAGGAGACAAGGGAAAAGATCGATATGAAGTACCTCAAACTTATTTGGATATTAATGAGCATAAGTTGGTTGTGGGTTTCAGAAGGCAGGCGTGGAGACGACGTTGTGCTCGTGTTCTGTCCTTTGTCTTGTGTATACGTCGTGGGTGTTTGTTTTGGGTAATTCAGAGAGTGATTAAGTTAGTGATATTGTAAGTAAGGCTATTTTGGTGCGAAAACGTCTACTCCCAATTAGGACTAGCTTTATATAATTCATCAAATCTACCACTTATCAGCTTCTTAACCGTTCGGGAGGTCAGTCTGTACTTTCTTTTTCTGTTGCGACTTTAATTGCCTGTAGTAAAGAGAACTTGTTATCATTCCATTATTATTATAATAAATATAAATTATGTTGTCGTCAGTCTATAATAGTTTCGGTAAACATGAAACTTGCAGCAAACGTAATACTAGCGAAGGATTTTAAGCAATATGGTCGTGATGTGTGTTGAGGTCTGTTCTAAAGAGAAGTGTGTCCTCAGGTCATGAGAAGTGCCCGTTCCACTTCGACTTAGAGTTGGATCACAAGCCGCCTACCAGGGAGGACATCATCCCAGAGCTGGCCGCCAGTTATCGCTCCCTTCTGAAGGATCTCGGTGAGGATCCAAATCGTGATGGGCTCCGTAAGACTCCCGTTAGAGCTGCTAAGGCCATGCTCTACTTCACCAAGGGCTACGACCAGACTATCGAAGGTGAGTGTCCCTAGAGCAACAATGAAGCTCGGTCATTCTCAAACTTCTCAGTTTTGTCTAAGAATATCTTAATTTTCTGTTTCTTCGACATCTTTGGAATAATCAAGTTGCAATATACAGGTATAATGATATAACTGGTCTCGTGTCGTATTATACTAAAATTAAGAAATAATAGTGATGCTATTTAACACTGTGACTACCTGCCTTGACGTGTGTGCCCTCTCCACCTTCCCTCCCTCCCCCCACCGTCAGATGTGATGAACGACGCTGTGTTCGACGAGGACCACGACGATCTGGTTATCGTGAAGGACATAGAGATGTTCTCCATTTGCGAGCATCATCTGGTCCCCTTCTGGGGTAAAGTGTCTGTCGGCTACCTCCCAAACAAAAAAGTGCTGGGCCTCTCCAAGGTAGCCAGGTAATATATTTGACGTCTTTTACCAGCAGACACACACACACACACACACTATACAGCATCTGTTAAGTTTGATAGATTGATAAACAAAGTCTGAAATTTCAAACGAATTAAATATCATATTTTATTTCATCATCCAACAAAAAGGACTAATTTCTTCTGCCGCTCTCATAAACTCGGCAGTAGTGAGTTCCCTGCAGATGGTAATAATCATAAAGGGAGTTAGGCGCGGGTAAGATCGTGTTGCGTCTCAGTTACAGAGCGTATTCGTTGTTGAGCGGTAGAAATTGGACAGTGATTACATAAGATCATCAAGATCGTCTTTGTTATGTGAAGTGTAAATCGATGTAGGAATTTTAACGCTAGACGCGATTGTATTTTTTAAAACTCAATCTCCACTTAGTTGGAGATACAGCCCATGTCAAGAGGCCTACAACCACAAAATCATTGCCATATGACAAAGCTCTTATTTTATTTTTTAACGGAGTTGTGGTCACGGCTGTGATAAATCAGTTCATAGTGTCATCAGTGACCGCGGAAGAGGTTGTAAATAACTTAAAGTGAATACAAATTGGGAAGCAAGCTGGAAAGGCACCACTGCCAGCAGAAACCAAGTCGTGTTATAGGTTCCACAGAGACTTTTAATTTTATATGGTTTGTGTGGTTTCTCATGGACTGAAACTATGCCTATAATACATCATTCACAGGGAGATACAGTGTACACAGTGATAGCACAAAGAGATATAGTCTTTGATAAGATATGGGAAAGAAAGTATAAGGAAATAATAGTTAAAATAAGAAATAAATAAAAAAAATCAACAGGCTTGGCTATCCTAAAAGGCATTCTATTACCGCCCCAAAATAAGTTTTAATTTCTTTTTCTGTGTTTCTAAAGGACTGAGTGGGCGTATAAAATCCGTTAATCATAGCAAAATGCAGTGTACATAGAGATAGCACATAAATACCGACAAATCGCTGAAGTGAACTAAAAAGAAACAGAAGAAGAACAGAAGAACACTCTAAAGGCAACAGGGGAGGTTAAAATCAACAGAGGGCAGCTAAGTACTGTTTTTTTTAAATAGGTATAGACCTATACACAGTCAGCACCCCCCCCCCTCCCCCCACAACAACAACAACCATGAAGGGTATGATATGTAATTACTGCAGGGGGGCAATGGATATAGATGATACAGGCCTGGCAAATGCAGTATTTAGGAAGATGAAAGTTTCCGTAAAGCAGAAGGTTGTTGCTGGTATTACCTTGACTGCATAGTCAATGTGAAAGAGGCGATTGCAAGCCATAGGGGAACGAGTTACCTAAGGACGAAAATAGATGAAGCTGGATCCTTGCTGGTTGCCAAACTAGAACAAGTTGGGAAAAAGATCCTTGATAAGACTGAGGAAGTAGTCGACAGAATGGAGGTGGTTGCTAAGAGGAGTTATGCTGAGGCCCTGTCAGGGCCACGGGAGGTGGCAGAGAGTAATGCAGGATCAGAACAGGCTCTACACCAGCTAGGGACTCTGAAGAAGTGTGTCGAAGAAATGACAATTAGCAGACGTACTGTTAGGGGAGAGGAAGAACAACGGGAACGTTTCCAGCGCAGTAACAATGTAATAGTTTATGAAGTCCCTTTAAGCCAGGCGAAGGGAACTGCGAGTAGGATAACACATGAGAAGATGCAGTTTAAGAATATTTGTACAGAGATTTTGAAGATGCCACCAACACCTCAAATGTGAGGAGGCTGGGACAAAAGCAGTGGGGTAAGCCTCCCCCCTCAGGACCCACACTAGTGAGTGAAGAGGAGAAATGGGAGGTTATGCGGCAGGCAAAAGACTTAGCAAGGAGCGAGGCATCTCGGAGTGTATTCATTCACCCAGATCGCACGTTAATACAGAGGGTACAGCACAAGAAGCTCCTGCAGGGCTTAAAGCAGAGGATGGAGGACTCGAGGAGGAAGTGGGACAGGTGTACATGGAGGGTAGAGGAAGCAAGTGTGCCGACACAGAGCCAGGGGGCAGTAGTGCACCCTCCACCCACTCTACCCGCCACCCGGGAGGTGACACCAGCTCCGCCTTCCAGCCGTAGAACTGTTGTACATGAACAGGAGACTCGACCCAGAGGAACGAGTTCGGTATTCCTGGATATGACTAATTTCCGAACCTTTCTCAAGAAACTTGCAAGAGGGGCGTGGTAATCTATGCTAGGCAAGACCTTAGAGCCAGCCAGGCGAGGGTACAGGGAGAGGAAGTTTTTGAAGAGTCCAAGTGGTGTAAAATTAAATTAAAGGGAGAGGACTTACTTATTGTCGGGTGTATCTACAGATCCCCAAACTGTGGCCCACTAAATCAAAGAAACTTAAGAGCCTAAATAGACAACGCAGTAATGCTCAACCCTAGCCACCTCCTTATCATGGGAGACATTAACTATGGCGACATAGACTGGAGAAACGAGTCCACCCCAAATGACTTGAATAACCCTGCTACTCTTTTTGTAGAAACTCTGAGATATAATTTTCTGTTCCAACATGTTACAGACCCGAAACATTACAGACGGGAGCAAACACCCAAGCCACTAGACTTCATCATAACAAACGAAGAGGGTATGGTGGCCAAACTGAAACACCTTGCCCCAGTTGGCACCAGTCACCATATAGTGTTGTCATTCAGATTTAACTGTTACCTAGTTCAAGATAAAGCCAGGCCAAAGTGCAAATATTACAAGGGAAATTACAACGGGATGAGGGAAGAGATGATGGGGTACCCACTGGCCTGACTCATTAAGACACAAGAACGCAGACACTACCCTGAATATCATAACTAGTAAAGTGACCCATTAGATCGAAAAATATATACCCAAGACCAAACCCAGTGCCACTAGGAATACGAAGGGATCCCTACACATCAACCATGCGGCGGTTTACAAAGTTATGAAGAAAATAAGAAATTCAAGACTTGGGTTGGGTCAAACGATGAGCATGACAGGAGGATGTATGCAAGAGCCAGAAACCAAGCAAAGACAGAGTGTAGAAGGGCTGAAAAGGAATTCCAGAGGCTGGTTGCAAGCGAGGTCTAGTCTAAGGCGATTTACCGCTATGCAAAGTCGAAATTAAAAACGCAAGTAGGAGTATCAGATCTGAGGCTTGAAGATGGTAGTTACGCAGATTCTGACCAGGATAAAGCTGAGTCATTGAACAGCTTCATTTCCTCGGTGTTCACAATAGAGGATGCGATTAACCTTCCTGCGTTTGAGGACAGACGGTTCGACGCAGCACAGACCCACATTGTGTTCACAGAAGAGGGTATTAGAAATAAACTGTTAAAGCTAAAGGTCCATAATATTCCCAGCCCTGACATGGTGCATCCCAAAGTGCTAAGAGAGTTGTGCATATGTGCAACGAGCTTGCCGAGCCCCTGAAGATCCTGTTTTGTAAATGCCTGGATTGCAAAGTGGCTTACGTAAGTCTTATCTTCAAGAAGGGCGATCGTCACTCCTGAAGCAGCTATAGAACCGTTGGGGCTGATAGCCATATATCAAGTACTTGACGGTAATATCAGAGATTGCCACCATTAGACATCACTACAACCGTCATAAAAGTTTACCAGCTGGTTTTTATATTTAATTTTCGCCGAGTACGGATGAGATTATATTTCTGGAACGGGGTGGTAATATGTTATTATATATTACGGCGAAAAAATCAAGCGGACGAGTGCGGAATTCAGAAATAATACCGGGATGAGGCTTATGACCGGAAGCAGTGTGTGGTTATAAATGGCACGAAATCATCATCTGTACCTGTCACAAGCTGGGTACCACAGGGCAGTGTATTAGGCCCACTGCTGTTTGTTTGTTTCATAAATGACATGCCTGACGTTGTACATTCCTTCATATAAATGTTTGTGGATGACGCCAAGTTATTTTGGGAAATCATGAACCAAGCAGACTGTGAAAAGCTGCAGAAGGATCTCTGTGAGCTCCAAGAATGGTCGAAGAAATGGCTGCTGAGATTCAATGTCACTAAGTGTAAGAGGATGCTCCTGGGGCGTACCAACGGTTAAGGAGGCGTATCATATGTCCCAACGGGATGAAGAAACTGCACTATTTGAGATTGAAAGTGAGAAGGACCTACCTGTAGGTGTGTATGTTGACAATGAGCTGAAGTTCTCGGGCCATTGCAAGAAGAAGGTAAATCAAGCAAATAAATTATTGGGTCTTATAAGAAGGTCGCTCAAATATCTAGACGGTCCGTCCCTCGTAACGATCTTCAAGAGTGAAGTGCTTCCCCATCTGGAGTACTGTCACCCTGTCTGGTCCCCGATATATGCCAGGGACTGTCAGTTTGTTGAAAATGTTCAAAGAAGGGCCACCAGACTGGTGCCTGCACTTCGGCACCTCAACTACTCTGAGAGGTTGGAGTGCCTGAATTTGCCTAGCTTATGCTACAGACGGGCAAGGAATGACCAAATTGAGGTGTAAAAGCATCTCAAGAGGCACTACTCAGTCGAGTGTCCATACTTGGAGCTGGCGGACGCTCGCCCCACAAGGGGTCACAGCTCAACATTGAAGAAGCCGCAGGTCCAGAAAACTGTGAGGGCAAACTTTTTCGGAGTGAGAGTTGTGAACTCTTGGAACAATTTACCAGAAAGGGTTGTGACGGCACCGAGTGTGAGCTTTTTCAAGACCAGGCGTGACCAACACCGGTGCATGCCCTGTACTTGCCAACAGTGCGTAACAGAGACGTGACCGATAGCCCAAGCGGCTAACGAGCCCATCTGTGCTGAAGAGGATAAAAGAAATAAAGAAAAAAATATCCACGCGGCCCAGCCAGGCTCAGCCAGGCCAGCCGTCCGCCAACCTGATAATGTTAAAGTAGTATCGTTGGTATGTTCCTAGAGTCCTGTGAGTGATTAAGAGTTGAGAATCTCAGGTACTGTATTGCTGGTGCTCGAGTGTGCCGTGTGTAAGCTTGTCATGTAGTGTGTTCTTTTAAATGTACAACCAGTAATGATGTAAGAAGCTAGTGTATC